GAAATGAGTGGGATCCATAGTATGATTAGGATTTTTTTTCGTTTTCTTGATCCATTTTTATTTGCTTTTGGCTAAAAATGGAGGCCACATTGAAAACTTTTTGGGTCCCACGCCAGTAAAACCCTATCGATCCGTAACTTACAGCATCAAAATCTCAGTCTTCAGTTATCCTGTGTGAAATATCATTATTCCACGATATTAAGTTGAAGTAGGAAGTGTCTGTGTGGTTAAAAAAAAAAAAAAAAACTCCTGGAAGTATGTTTTAATGACTTGATTAAATGTAACCAGTTACTACTCAGCTCGGCACCTGGTCACATTTTTTACATTTCCTTCGTAGTTAACATAGCAAACTATTAACTGTGACAAACTCATCCGTCTTCAGGCTGAAAGAAAATGTTCCAAGAGAAGAGTGGGGAATTTTGTTTCTTAAAAAGCAAGACATGCTCTCACTGACCAAACACAGGCGTTCAACTCATTCCCTGATTCCTTTCTTTACGACTAATTCTAACCAATGCCCTCTGAAGGTATTAGGTTTCGTTTTTCCTCAGTGGTGTGTTGAAATATCCGGTGTATCATCATGCTGCGTCATTAAGCTACGCAGGATGTGAAAGCAGAAAGTGGTTAAAACAAAGGGATGTTAGCGTTTCAGAATACCAACTTCACACCCTCTGTAACCCAACGGATTCAATGAATCGGTTGGAACAAAAACAACTTCTTGTTTACTGTTTCTATAAATAACTACAGTCACACCAGACCAGGAAGTTCCTCATTACTACACATGTCAAAAATCTTTTCACTGAAGCTGCATTTCTGTTACCAGGAAAGGCGACAAAGCTGCCGAGAGCGCTGAGACCGAAATGCCCAGCTAAAACTGCGGACCTGGCGCACACGGTCAGGAGTTGCGCTGCTCAAGACTCTCCCTCCTCAGACGACAAGCAGCAGCAGCTCACCAGCAAGACCTTTAATGGGAGCTTTGATGACCTGGACATCCCTTATATCGATGACGTTGAAAATTGAAGCTGACACTAATTCCACACGTTCTGATAATCTGAACACCTGAAAGCACTTTCTTTGACAGACTCTATTTGTCATTGCTGCTGAGAAGGACATCATGCTGACCCGTTCCACCAGGGTTCTTATGAGACATGCTCAGAACTATTTCTGATCTTTATATGGAGATTCTGCTAATTCCATCACTTTACAGAAGATTTTATAAAGGAGCTGAGGGTTTTGGACCAGTTCTGTGTAACAAACTGTAAAATCAATGTCCCCTTTTCTTTTCTCTTTCTGGTGGTTGTTTGTAATTAAAAAAAATAACATAGTAACTATACTGTAGATGTGCTAACTTTGTACTCATATTCTGACACTGTGATCAAGAATCTCACGGGAAAACCATGTATTTCTCTTTCTTTTTATGTTACTTTTTTTTAGTAGTTTGACATTAATTAATCTGAGACTTTTTGTAAAATAAATTTTGTCTTTATTTGAACTGTGCTTTTTGCCATGACAAGGCAAGTAATCCATTTTTTTCCCCTTTTTTTGTTAAATGTATGTACATTTTGAAAAGAACTGGTGTCCATTTGGTTGCAATATTACCAGCTGAAACAAATAGTTTATCGATGTTAGAAGGGACCAAAACTGCCTGAGCTAAATGTATAGGAATACATATATGTCTTAAAATTAAGCCGAGAAACTAAATGAATAAAATGTAATAAGATTAAAAATGAAATTATAATTAAATAATAAATAACTCACACATTTATTAGCCAAAAATGAAATATAAATATAAATTTTGCCACACAGCAATTGCTGACTTTGACCGTGACTGACAACTTCCACGAGGATATTAATTAATGTAAAGTTAAGTGGAAGAAAAACGTGGTGGAAAATGTTGCATCCTTTAAAGGATTTAAAAGTAAATCCTACTCAAGAGATGGTGGGACCCATGTTAGTCAGTGCTTCTTTTCAACTGGGAGTAGTCTGGAGGAAATGCGCTATTTGTCTGTGTCGTGCTTGTTTAAGTTTCACTTTTCAATTAAATAGATAATTAAGCTTTTAGGTGAATGTATGTCATAGACATGACATACATTCATGCCTGTGTATCGATAGACATGAATCTACGTCGAACCATGTTACATGCTCTGTTTTCCAACAGTGAATATTTCCTTACTTCTTGGAAATGACAAAACGTCTTGTTTGCCTTCTTTATAAACACAGGGATCACCATATATGACATTTCCTCTTTGTTACCCGCGGTGTGATTCCCACGAATCAACATGGGAGGGCTGCAGCATCAACTTTTTCTAAGCCAATCAGATGCAAAGTTGTATCGCCGTTCTGGTCGCTAGCCAATAGCGCGGTAGTATTTCGCAGCGAGGGGCGGGGCTAAAATGCTGGTACAGGAAGACGGACTGAAGTGAGGTGGGGATGAGAAATCATCATTTAGTTAGCTCGCTGCTAGCTGCCTATAGTTGAAGTGTAATGAGCTTAGTAGCCCAAATTTAGAATATTAGTTTACTTTGGTGGGGACAACGACGACCCTTTGACATCAAGAATGAACATAAGTTAACAATGACGGGGGAGAAAAAGAAGAAGAAGCGGCTGAACCGCAGCATTCTTCTAGCAAAGAAAATTATAATAAAAGATGGAGGAAGTGTGAGTTAAATATTTATTTATCTTCGTTAACTTAGCTTACCATTGAATACAGTTGCTCTCGACTGTTTGTCTAGACCGAAGCCGTGTGTAGCTAATGTAAACACAGCAGAGCTGAAGTTGTTTATGGCTGTCTGTTGAATATAATGTTAACCGTTAAACGCTGTCTGGCTGTTGGAGGCACCGCTGAGCTAAGTGGCTAACTGTAACACAGCGGCCTGCTAGTGGTTTACACGTCAGCTCAGGTAACGCTAGCTAGCTAATGTCAACAACACTGATGTTTCTTCCTAAATTACTTTTTTCGTTTCCTGGGATTGTTGCATTCTTTCCCCTACACATTCATCTTAAGCTTACCGAGCTCTTTGTAAACCGTGTGACTTCTCAATTGGTCAGCAAGCCCAACATTTGCTTGAAGTATTGAATTCACCTTAGCTTTTTTGTATTGACTGTTTTTGCAATGAAAGTGACATCTGGGTTGTTGAATAAAACGACTTTTTTTGTTTAGCTTTTGTATAAGAATAGGAAAAACTCGGGGTTATACCTGGTTGAAGGAACAACATTTAAATATTGTTTGCTAATGTTTTGTACGAACTAAACAACTTGTAATAAGAGTAATAAGCTTTGATTCCACCTACCATACTAAACATACACTGTCGAGTAATATAATGTTTCTTTAGTATATGCTATGATTAGAAATTAGAAATGCACCATTTTTATTTTTTTTTTTTTTTTTGCTGATTTTTGTAAAGCTCTTACCTGCTGGTACCAATTCTCGAGCGACAAAATAGATTTTTACTTTCTAGAAAACATAAAAAATAAACTATTAAGAATGAAGTGTTTATTTCAAAATTAAATGAGGATTTCTCAAAAGCAGCAAAGAGTTACAGGGCTTTCGCTCTCTGCATCATTGACAGTCCTCCAAGTTATAAGACGTATAACATCTGGAACTAAAATCTAATTAAAAGTATTTTGGAAAGGCTTGATCCATTAATTTACTCTAACCACACAGAATTCTTAAGAAGCCTTTCTGTTTTGGAGTTAGCATTAATTATTTCCAGAAGGACCAGAGATCAAATCACACAGGGTGTGAGAGAGAGCTACACAGCTCTGCAACTCGACAAAATTTCTTACTATTTTAAAACAAAGACAGAACAATTAGAGCTACAATGTTACACTTTATTTGGTATATCTGCATCTGCAGCAGTAATATTTGTAAAGATAATTCTCTCTTATTTTCCCTACAGAGTTACTAGATACTTAAATTGTCAGCTTTCAAAAGGCTGACAATGTTTCCTAATCCAACGTGATCCATGACAGACTGAACTGGACTCAAAGAAATAAAATACAGAAACATTTTTTTGCCCTTTAAGCTTCTTATAATCAGCTGACCTCAAACTCAAAAGGGTTGCATCCTGAGTGAACAGAGAAATATCTCTATGGAAAATAGTTTATTTTAAAGTAGCTTTTTACTCCTTTTTTTCTTATGACTTCATTGTTGAACTAGTTATAATCAAAATGGCTAAACTTGAGTCATCTTTTTAAGCAACAACTTTCATGCTGTGTAGTCGCTGATTGTAAAAAGATAATTTTTTTATATTTTACAGTTTCCGGGAGGCCAGTCACAGTAACAGCCCATCAAAACGACTAAATCGCTAGTGCACATATCTGATAATGTTTGGCTTTCAGATATAACAACAAATGTCATTTTTTTTCTTTTTTTTTTCGACTTGTTTTAGTTATGGTTACCATTTAGAGAAGCTATTCTGCCCTAAACATCGTCAGTGAATGCAGTGATTAAGGAATCTTGTAATAATTCATCTTTTTTCCTCGTCTGAATAAATTTTTTAAACGCCTCAGTGACATTGAATATAGTTTGGTCGTCTTCTCTCAATAACATCTTCCACAACTAAATGTTACCTGGCAGCACTTATGTGTGGTGCGTTCAACAACTGGAAAAAGTCAGACTTTTCAGTTTTTGCCATTCAAGCTTTGAAGCAACTCACCAACCAATTTCAATTTAAGTATTTTGAAGTAAGTTAACTAATAATGCTGAGTATTCTACCCGTTTATCTTTCTGCTCTTAATGGAGTTAGACAACTATAACAAATTGATATTTGCTGGTGAATTATTTGGCTTTTCTGCTTGGGTTGAGTTTGCAGTCAACTGTACAACAAACATGCTGCTTATAGCTCCTGACTTAAGTTTTGAATACAGAAGACGGGCGGAGCTCCTTCGATCTCCACATCACAACCGGTTGAGTGTTTTGTAACTGCAAATATTTAAAAGCAGCTGAATTTGTGCTTCTTGAAATCGTTTGTAATGCTTCATCCAGCTGACCAGCAGTGTGCGGGAAAGGGATTCTGTGCTCCAAACGCACAAAAAAAACCCTCTGTTTTCAGTTTCTCATGAGAAACAATTTTAAATGGTAGCTTTTAAATCTTGCACATGTAATTGTCCCCATGTGTGGCTTGTTGGCGGCCTTTGTATATTTGATGTTTTGGTCACAGTTCTGTGTTAAAACTGAGATGAAAAGTTTGCGATCCGCTCGTTTTGATAGAGTAAATGAATTATGTTCTATCCGAGGCTTTTGGAAAAGTGTGAGCAATGTGGGATTAGTTATAAATGGAGTGATGCATCATTGTTATGCAATCAGTTAAAAGTCAAACCTACTGAAAATCTATACGAAGGGAGAGTTGCAAACATGGACTAAAAGGGAAACCACAAACATTTCATTTCCTTCAGTTCAGTTCTGGTCATCCGTTTTACTCTACTTCCGACATGCGTAGCTCTTCTACGGTTGTTGTTGTTGCTCCAGATATGATCTGACCACTCAGACATCATGATTTCACCTCCAACAGCCAGATTTTCTGCCATCTCCTCATCCAGCCACAGCAAATTGTGCATTGAGAGCTCACTAGTCAATAGCATTGAGTGCTATGTTAATGTATTGCTTGGTGTCAGTTTCATTTAGAGGAAGTTGCGTCGTGTGTGAATCGGTTAAAGCTTGTTCCTCATTTTGTGCAAGTCGAGTCATCATAATGACCTGAAATAAAGGGAGTTATCAAGGGGAGGATGTGGGCCCCAAGCAGGAGTCTGCACTGCTTTTACACGATTGGAAATAAATATGAAAACAAAACTGATTAACTCTCAATAATAGCATCTAATGGTTTGCTGCACAGCATCCGTTCTCTGGCTCCGGCATCGCCTTGTCGCTTCAAAAATTCACTTTGGAGTGACGGGACTTTCCCACAAGGGAGTTGGTTTTTATTAGAGATAATAAGGATGTCTATTCATGTTTCTCTGATTACAGAGGTGTCTGTTTTTTTGAATGACCTACAAATGTGCCTCTAGAGATCATTGCACTACTTTGACTCCACCTGGATAACAGCTGCTTTTGTTTTCTGTTTTTTAATTCATCATTTTCGATTAAGAGAACTTTTGTGGTTTCAAGTTTGTCATAAGTACTTAGTTTGTAGTGTATGCAGAAAAATCCGATCAAACACATTTTACGCTGGTCCTCTTGCACCCAATTGAAAGAAGATGAGTAAAATTTTAAAAAATAAGTAAATGTGTTGGTATACAATAAATATTTCTGTCGCAGTAATGAATTAAAACAAGTAAATTTCCATTTGCACGATTTATTGTTTTTCTCTTTCTACCAAAAACTTCAGTCTGGTGTTTTGGTCTCAACTAGCCCCTGTTTTTGAAGGACAATTTTATTAACAAAGACTTCATAATTCATTTAATTTCTTGTTTTTGTTTATTTATTTTGGATATTTAAATTGTCTTCGAGTTCCAGTGTTAAATGTTCATTAGAATTTAATGTTTATTAATCTTTGAGCCTTAGCCTTACATTACTTAAAAATGCTCTCGCACAACATTATTGTTTATGGCAATAACTTCTGGGACAATTTATTGTCCAGTGAAATTTGTTTTTGTAACAACAAAACAACCTTAAAAGACTTAAGATCACAATCCAGAGGTAACATATTAATCCAAAGATTCCTCGTTAGCATCCACAGCCTTCACAGGTTCTCATGTGATCGTATAGTATAGTTTTTAGAATTCGACAGATTCTGACATTACGTTTATGTTTCCATGATCAGACACTTTGAAGCTGTGAGATTGATGTTTCTTGTCAGCTAACCGCCTCTGTGTGTTTCTCTGTCTCCCTGTAGCCTCAGGGAATCGGTGAGCCCAGCGTCTACCATGCTGTGGTCGTCATTTTCCTGGAGTTTTTCGCATGGGGTCTTCTCACCACCCCGATGCTCACGGTAAGCCACACTCGGCTGCTATGTAAACTAGCATAGCATTGTGTTGTATTTGTACTATTTATTTATTTTTAACAGGTTTCTAAAAACAAAGAAAACGTGTAACCAAGAACAAAATAGTTAGATGACCACTACTCTTCTGATTGAAAGAAGTGAACATATTTAATCTCACCTCTCGTATCCCTTATCGACTCAATAATTACCAGGAATTTGTAATAAAAACATGTTATGACATTCATAATTATTGAGCCTGTTTAATTTACTGTGTAAAGAACCTACAAATAAATTAAACTGCAAAAAAAAACAAAACTCTTAACCCTTTCATGTATACTGGTCACTGCAGAGGACAGCTTTCTAAAATGGATTTTTATGTTATAAATGCTCACAGACCACTGAAGTGGACACTAGCGCATCATACAAAACACGATCAACTACTGGCCATCAGCTGCAAGCGCAAGAAAATATTTGTTACATTCAATAAGGTAGACAGACAAAAAAGCATTCAGACCAATTCAGGAATATCCAGTCCCTCCTCCTACTGTAGAAACTCTTGCAGGAAAAAAAAAATTGTGACATCACATAACCCCTGAAGACTAATACAACTGATGTATTTTCCAAATAACAACTTTGCATTTGGAGAAAATCACCTAGAAAAAAATCCTAGAATTTTTCTTTTTCTTTTTTTTTACAAAATTTATTTTCCCACCTTTTTTATCCCTTAAAAAAAGTTGGAAAAAATCCTGACAAAAAGGATCCTAATTCATGCATGAAAGAGTTAAAACTTTGTCTCATTGTGATTTTATGTGATAGACCGACACAGTAACACGACTGTGAAGCGGCCTGTATGAATTTCAGTTTTTATTTTTACAAACACAGTGTGCCATTTGTATGTATGTAGCCCCCTTTATTCTGATAACCCAAAAACAACCAGTTTAACCAGTTGCCTTCAGATGGACTTTGTTTAAACATTAAACTGAGTGAACCTGTGTTATGATTGGGCAGCTGTTGTTTGATGTTTGTTAGACATGAGTGAAAAAACAGCATCATAAAGCCAAAGGAAATAACCAAATACAGAAAAGATGAAAATGTGGAGAAGTTTAAATCAGGGTTAGGTTTTTAAAATGATATTCTAAGCTTCAAACACCTCGCAGAGATTTGACCCAAATTGGATTTTCACAGCAGTCTGAACGCCCCAATTCTGATCTTTTCACCTCCAAAAAAATCACATCTGTGCCACTTCCATATGTGGAACAAATTCGGATACTGAAGATGTTTTCAAAGCGTTTGCAGTCCGAACGGTCATGTTGCATAATTCTGCACCAGAAGAAGTCAGATGTGGTAAATCAGGACATAAACAATGGATGAAGACTATGATTCTGAAATTATGGTAGAACTTTCCATCAGTGAAATTCTTCACATCTCAATCCCGAACCTGCTGGCTCTGACTACACATCCAAACATCCTTCCCTACAAAAACTGCAGTCAGCGTTTCTCAAAAGGTCATTGCTATTAATTGCTCTTTCATTTTTACTAGCTTCCTTCGTCTTGTGATTTTTTTGACAATAATGTCAGCTCCCATTGCTGAATAAACTTTAACATTGATCCATAAACTGCTCTATATAGAATTTATTTTCATAAACCGTGTGACATCAACATTCTTCTTGTGCGCATTCGGGTCGTTTTCACACAGAAGTCTCATTCCGGTCCGGTTTAGTTTGAACGATCATGCAACACCAGACCTCAGTCTGTGGAAGACCTGAAAATAGAAGTACACAATTTTCATTTGTGAAAATGTCTTACCGTGATAAAAATTTTGATTCATTATAGTTTTTATTGTTGATACATTTCCATCACTTGATAATTATGTGCTATTGGACGATTAATACCTGACACCACCTATAAAGTCTTAAAAAACTCAAACATTTCTGGGTTTCCCCTAGTGAATTATAAGCCTGGCGGGCCACCAGGCTTTACTTGTGCCCCCACCAGGCTTAGTACTGCTTATTTATTGAAGTTTTTCTTCAAATGCTTGCATTTTTTAAGACTTTATAGTTGGTGTTCAGATATTAATCCTCCAATCTTTCAATAATACAATGTTTTTTAACTCAAAAAAGTGACGGGCCTCTTCATGAATGACTGCTGAGCACCCGAAGAAACCAATTTAAAATGGGGACATTTTTCAAGAGCAGTATTTTACATCCATACACTTACCTAAAAAAAGATGTAATAAACAGTTTTTATCATAATTTTTATTGTTATTACAATAAGTACCACAAAATATCATGATAAAATTCAAAGTCCATGTCAGTCAGACCTTGTTCAGACACTTTCCTGAGCTGTTTTACAAACCGAACTGGCCAAACATTTCCATCTTTAGGTGTGCAATGCTGGCAGAGTTCATCCTCCAATAGGCTTATTTCCAGCTAAAGGTTTTACTACTCAATGGGACTTAATAGAAATCCATAAAACATTAGTTTTTGTTAAATACTAACCAGCTGACCAGAACCCTGTGTGATTTCTTTTCAGCAGATGCTGAACAGAGAACTATGGATGTGGCATCAGTTTTATTGTCAGTCCTAATTCTTTGTTGAAAAGGCTTATCAGGGGGTCGCTGGCTCGTATTGTCAGCCCACATCACAGACTCTGTTTGGCTCAGAGCACTGTGCCAGCAGCTGTGATGTAGCGTTTGCTGCAGAGGTTTCCTAAGTTACACAAAACGGAAGAATGACTCTCCATCATCCTGCACAGACTGTTCCTTTAAAGCTGTTTTATAAATGACTTGCCATAGGCTGTGCTTTATTTCACACCAGCTGCCCGGCGTTGAAGTTTTTCACTGTAGCTTTGCATACGTCAGGTCAACTTTGCAGATTTTATTACCTCTGGTTTCCAGACGCATATTTTTTCCTTTAATCACAAGTTTTTGCCAGGAACCTGTTTCAAAATATGCGTACACATCTGTTTGCCACATGTTTGCCAGACAGGGTTATGCAATGGTCTCCCGTTTGAAGGAGGTGTTTGTTTGTGCTGTTAATTATTTGGGGTTTGTTGCCCCGCTACGAAAAGCAGATTTGCATTTTTGGCTAATCAGAGGCCGTCTGAAGATGAGAGGGACTGATTCATTAGTCTTCAGTAAACACTTCAAGTTTGACTGTACTTAACTCCGAGGAAGAAAAGACTTTTCCTTCACAGACAGGAACAATAACCAGACTCTCAGCTTCAAACTAAACATGTCCCAGTATAAGCTAGCGCACAATGTTCCCACTCTGGTGTCACTGACATGAGCAAGACTTTGAACTTTAATGATTAGAACCCGTCTTACCCAGATGTAACCGTTTTAGAGAGCTTTTTATAGATGCACCAGTCAGATTTGTGACCAATTTATTTTATAGTAAACTCTATTTCTTTTTAACAACAATAAATAACAATCAAAAACTGTATTTTGTTGCTGTAAATGTAATAGTCTAGTTCTTTGGTCTCAACTATCCCTTTTTTTAAAAGACAATTTTGACTTCATAATTAATTTTATTTGTTTCTGTTGTTTTCATTATTTATTTTGGATATTTCAAATATCTTTAATTTCCAGTGTTTAAAAGTTCATCCATCCATCCATTTTCTGAACACCCTTGTCCCTCAGTGGGGTAAGGAGGGGTGCTGGTGCCTATCTCCAGCTAACGTTCCGGGCAAGAGGCGGGGTACATCCTGGACAGGTCGCCAGTCTGTCGCAGTGTTTAAAAGTTCACTAAAATTTAAAGTTTATCGATCCTTGAGAATGTGTTCTTGTGTTATTATTGAATTACTACTATTATATGACTTGAAAATTGTCTCAAAACAACATTATTGTTTATTACAATAAGTTATGGGACAATTTATCGTCCAGCAAAATTTAAAACGCCAAACATTTTTGTGTTTGCAGCATGAATGTCAGATGGATTTGGTAACTGTGTTAAATAACCTGAACTTGCTTCAGTTTAATTGATAAAACATTGTTTTGTTTTGTTTTTTTGTAGTTGTTTTTTCTCTATGTTTATAAATTGCTTCTGTTATTGTACATAATTTCTTCTGTGAGGTCGAGTAAATTACAGAACCAAAGTTGCTTCATCTGGGTTCCTGTGTTTGTTTTTCCAGGTATTACATCAGACATTCCCCCAACACACATTCCTGATGAATGGACTCATTCACGGTGTGAAGGTAATCATTACACAGACCGGCATGGTTCTGTTTTCCCTCATGCTTCATCTTCAGTGACATAACTGCAATTTAATCGTCACTTTTGCATAAATTGATGCGATAAATGACTTCGCATTTCCGTTCATCCTTTATGGACATGATGTGTGGTTGGATGCAAAGAAATCAATGTTATACCATGAAAACCCATTTATGTGCTACATTAACTACAAAGACTCGCATAGCTTGAGCTTTACTGCATGTCGTCCACTTTCTCTCGCTCCCTTCTCATTTCCTGTCTGATTCCTGTGAATTAAAACCACAAAATCTAAAATAATCTGTATATTTAACAATCAAAATACTGATGGACAAATCTGCCAGTAACCGTCAGAAAATAGTTTTGCAAAGATCCCCCAGTAAGCTTGCTAAGCCCGGGTTTGTGTGCTAGGGCAGTCATTCATCCAGCGGCCCGTCGTGGTTTTGAGTTAAAAAAATTTCAAAGTTGACAGGAAATTTGAAAATATCACTTGATAATTATGTGTTATTGAAAGTTTGGAAGATTAACACCTAAACACCAACTATAAAGTCTTAAAGAATGCAAACATTTTAAAAAGACAAAAATAAATCATAAATGCTTAGCCTGGTGGGGGCACAAGTAAAGCCTGGTGGCCCGCCAGGCTTATAATACTTTGGGGGAAACCCTGGTTTTGGTTGTTCTTTCAGTTAAAATAAAAGTTGAAGTTTTTGGGTCTGCAGAAAAACATTTTTTCGTTTTTTTTTTTTTTCTTTCTTAATATTAGCCTAATGGCTGATAGACTGGACCACCAGGCCATGTCCTTCACGTTTGCAGGTTAAAGTAGTCACCCCATTTTTGCTAACTTTGCGACTTTCTTGCTGTATTTTGCAACATTTCAGACAAAAAAAATTGGTACTGGCCAAAATCTGAATCACCAGGTTAGGCTTTTTGAAGATTAGTAATTGCCGATTGGCCAGAAATCTGCAACCGGTGCACCCCTTAATGCAGGCGCATCGTTTTCCAGTAACATCCTTGAAAGATACTTTTGAAATGCAACTTTTTTTCTTTGTCATGTCTGCAAGTCTGCTGCTGCTGTTACACGTTTATTCTTCTTTTGTCTGATCCACTCTCCAAAATCTTTGCCTCTTTGTTTTTTTCCAGGGCCTATTATCATTTCTGAGTGCTCCTCTGATTGGAGCGTTGTCAGACGTTTGGGGACGCAAGTCCTTCTTGCTGCTAACAGTCTTCTTCACGTGTGCTCCCATTCCGCTGATGAAGATCAGCCCGTGGTAAGAGCGTAGTTCTGACATCCCAGAGGGGAAAAAAAAATCACAGCAGCAAAGGTCAAAATGTTTGTTTTTTTTTGCTGATTGATTTATTGGATCTGACGTGTGCGTCGGTTCTTCTGCTTTTAGGTGGTATTTTGCAGTCATCTCCATGTCTGGCGTCTTCGCCGTCACCTTCTCTGTGGTCTTTGCTTATGTGGCAGACATTACGCAAGAGCATGAGAGGAGCACAGCGTATGGCTTGGTGAGAAAACAGTGTTAGAAATAAAATCCGATAACTCTGACCCTCATGTTTTCCTTTTGATCACCTTTTTTCTCTTGGTCCTTCCAGGTGTCTGCCACCTTTGCAGCCAGCCTGGTTACCAGTCCAGCCATCGGAGCCTATCTATCGGTGGCCTACGGTGACACGTTGGTGGTAATCTTGGCCACCGCCATCGCCCTGCTAGACATCTGCTTCATCCTGGTGGCCGTCCCGGAGTCGCTGCCGGAGAAAATGAGGCCGGCATCATGGGGAGCACCAATCTCCTGGGAACAGGCAGACCCCTTTGCTGTGAGTACAACACTGTTTAAAGTCGACTTACAGAGATTTAAGGGAGTTTCACACCTGATAGCCTGGTAGACTCAGTTTGGGAGCCAAAATTCCAACGTTTGTTACATTTTGAGCTGCTGCAGTTCGCTTTCACACTGTGTCAAATAAACTAAATTCTTTAAAAAAAACCTGAACTACTGAAGGAAAAGACACAAAAACCTCTGAAGAAGACAGGAGCACAACTTCATTCTCCATAAAATATAAACAGAAATGGAGGATGAATATTTTAGCAGTTGTTGGATTTCTCTTATGTCTTTGGTAAAAGACCATGAACCATTTCTACTCGTAGCGCTACACTTGCACCTTTATTTTGATTGTATTTACCCAGAATTCCCTGCGCTATAGTTCGCTATCTGCTTGTAGAATGGTCTCCGGTCCACTTGCATCCACATTTGCATTCAAGCTGTATCAGTCGGCATCATCTTCGACTGTGCCTTCACTCTTCCCCAAATGAACTGAACTTTCTAGACGAACGAACAAAGCTCGGGGTTTCTGGGCGTTCCTGAAAAATATGGAATTAGCTGTTATTTTTTAGATTTGTCCATTACCTGAAAATTAAATGCAGCATTAAAAAACTATTTCCCTAATAGCAAAAGTCTAATAAACCTTTTTACTATGGATTTATGTTTAAACAGCATGCTTTATGTTTGAATTCTTCTTGATCTTAACGTTTTACTCATCAGCATTTCAAATTCTAACTTGTTTAAAAATACAAAAAGAGAGATTTCCCTACATGTTTGTTTTTCAGACTTCAGGCTGAACTAGTCCTGTGGGAATTAAAATTAGAATTAAAGTGCAGCGATTGGAAAGTAGGAATATGTAGCGTGCTTTGTGTTGAACTGTTGTTGTTTTTCTCCGGCTCAGTCTCTGCGTAAAGTGGGCCAGGACTCCACGTTGCTGCTCATCTGCATCACAGTGTTCCTCTCCTTCCTCCCCGAAGCTGGGCAGTACTCCAGCTTCTTCCTCTATCTCAGACAGGTAACATTTTTTCATTTCCTTTCAGAACTTTCCTTGGTATTATGAAACATAAAAGCAGTCAGATTATTTACGGTGAGTCCACATTCAGCTGTATGTTGTGCTTCTAGCATGGGCCTTTTTGTTGCAAGTCCTTTCAGGTCCTTTAAGTGAATGTTTGAGGCTCAGAGTTGCTCCTCCCAAAGTTCACGATGAATGTCGATAAAACTGAGGTCTGAAGTCTCAGACAAATTAATCGGTGGGTTCTGGAAAATGTTTTACAATGAAGCAGGATTAAAAGTGCTTGAATTTCAATTAGGTGTTTTCAAGATTTCTGTATAAAGTCCTTGAAAGTGCTTGATTTTCAAACTGCACCGTTTTGAAACCAGACATTTTCAAACACCTGATTCAACAAAGAAACGTGCTGATTTTTTTCTCGCTGTCTGAAGTTAAATCAGATTACACTTTTCTAGTTTCCGATCAGATGCAATTACAAAGATTATGTATTTTCTATAAACTTGGCAAGAATATTTTAAATTTTTACAGGATTATTCTTTAAATAACATTATTTGTATATTGTGTTTAATTTCATTTTAACAGGACTGTCATTTGTTTGAGTTGTTTTAGTATAATAAATAGATATTTTTTCTTAATTACTTATTGATCCGTATAATTTAAATAAAACATAAAAATTTTGTTATACTTTAATTTACTTTGTCCCTGCTGTACAATGCAAAATTCCATCTCGAGACATTATTAATAACAGTAAAATATGGTATATTTTTATAAATAATTTGTCCTGTTTTTATCTCCAAAGTGTGCTTTTGTAAAAGTTTGAAAACTTACTTTGAAAATTCTTAATGTTCTTGAATTTTTCTGTGTGACGAGTGAACCCTGAAGCTGCGGTTTTCTGCTGCAAGCCATGAGTTTTACTCAGCAGCTTGTGATGCAGGTATTAAAGTAACATTTATAGAATTGCAAGGCTTGCATCATTCTGCATCCACTGTTGTTTTCTACTATTAATTATCCTGATGTCCCAAGAAAGAATCTAACCAGAGCTGCAGGATGCACAAAATGATAAAGAAAAAAATAAAATAATCTGAGATATGGCTCCTACATAGACTAGTCAGGCGAAGAGTTTGATAATTAGCATTTTACAAAAAGTGAAAAATGTTCTAACTTATTTGTCTGAAACATGAACATTTGAATTGATAAGACTTAAACAATCTTGTTATATTTATTTGTATCAATGTAAAACTAACAGTTAGTTAGGGCTGAAACAATTAATCTTCATTAATTGATTATTGGAATAATTGTCAACTAATTAACTAATCGATTAATCGTTAAACGGAGTATACACACGCAAAAGAAACCCATTTTTTGACAAACAAATGGCTGATAACATATTCAGAGCAAAAAAATACACATACATTTTGCATCCAAAATAAAAACAAAGTTTTTAGATCCAGGTTGATATTTACTAAAGGAATGTGATGTGATTTTAGGCAGTAAAATGTTTATTTTCTTATTTAAAAAATTAATTAGATTGTTTATTTACATCGTTTAGTGTAATGTTGTATTAAATAAGGCTTAGGTGGTTCAATGAAAAATCTGTTGAATGTGTAATTTACTTTATTTATTTAATAAATCGTTAGATTTATTAATAACTAAAATAATGATTCATCTGGATTTGCCACAGTTTAGTTTAATGATCATTTTGGTTTTTTACATCTTAGCGGAAAGAGTACCCACAGATAAAAACTGACTTGTCTAAAATGCAATAAAATCCAGTTTCGTTGTTAGTTTTTTGACTAGTTTTTAAAAATGATACCACAGAAATGTTCTTCAGAGAATAAAGCCGACACCTGCTCAGTGTAAGCAGTGAAAAGTGAACCTGAAAACTGCTGAATCAGAAGCTTTAAGATTGTGCAGTTTGATAAACTCATGAAAAAAAAAACAACTGGGTCACTGATTTGTCCTCAAACATCCAGGATGTTGTAAAACCTGAAAAAAATGTAGAAGTATTAGACATTACGATGTGGAGAATTTGTAGAAATCCTGATCAGATCGTTGTAAATTCCTCCGTTGCTCTGCAGTCCAGTTTCTTTTTTCGTGCTTCAGAGATTATCACAAGCAGCATGTTGAGGTCTGCAGCTGTGCAGCAAACCACTGACGTACTTCTACTGGAAACGTCATTAACTTTTCTGAAATATAAAGTAGCTGTGTCCCAATCCCCCAACTATGATTTTCCTTTCATATTTATTCAAAATTGTACATTTATCTATTTATTTATTTACTTCACAGGCAAATTTGGCATTTTTTGTAGGCCATCAATGATTACATTTTCCTGTAAATCTATGTGAGAACAAAACAAAATGCAGTGACAAAAATAAATTAAATTATGTTCTTATTTTTATGGCATACAGAAAAAAATGAAGAGACGACTTAAAATGATCAGTTTCTCTGATTTTACTTTTTATAAATATAAGTTTGAGTAAATAACGGAAAAGATGCAGTTCTTTCAGACCTCAAATAATGCAAAGAAAACAAGTTTATATCGATTTAGAAACAATAATACTAATGTTTTAACTCAGGAAGACTTCAGAAATCAATATTTGGTGGAATAACTAGGAGATTTTAATGGGGTTCAGTGCAGTGGGCTCTTTATTTTTTCCAGAACTGTGTTCATGATTATTCAACATGTTGTTAATGTCCAACGTGACGAGACTGAATTGGCCTGAAAAAATAAAACGGAGCTCATTTCAGACATGAATGCAATTCCAAATTAATAGTTTTTATCAAAAATATGACTATGAATCTTGAAGCATTCCCTTTGAAATGACTGACTATACGTGTTATTTAGTTTGTCCATTTTATTATTATCATCTACATAGTTAGGAGCTACATTTTTTGGCTACACAAAACCTTTACACTCATAGGTACATTGTTAGTAATAAAGATGAGAAAAGAGACTTTTTTTTTTTTAAAGGGCAATTTATAATTAAAAACATCCGACCGATTGTTTCCTTCTCAGATAATCTCCTCCATGTTAAAAGCCTCATACTTTTACTATTTTAGTTCCCTATTAAATTCAGAATAGTTTGTGGGAAATTCCAGGAATCTCAGGAAAAAACCCCAGAAAAACTGCAGAGGTTGATTTGAGCGCAGCAGAGCAAGTTTGCTGAGCGACCCGTTTCAGTGTTTGAATGAAGTGTTGGCTCATTAGGATGGATTTACTAACAGGCCTGGAGCAAAAAGTCCACGTCGTCAAAAATACCAGCACTAATGGATTTCCCTGCTAGCGCCAGCGGACAGCTTCACGCTCCAGAGGCTGTGATCGTTTTTTTAAGGAACGTCTTTAAATGATGTTTGATAAACAGATTCAGAGTAAACCTGTTGAGCAAGTCAGACTTGCTCCTGCAACTCTTCTGTCCCATAGTAGGGGGGATAAAAGCACCTGAAGTGGAGCATTAGGCTACAATTGCTCCGCTTATATCTTATATCTTTTTTTTTTTTTTTTTTTTAAGCATATGCACTGACTGACGGCACTTTTTAAATTTCGTTGTTCTTGTGACAATGACAATAAAGATTTATCTATCTTATCTATCTATCTTTGTCCTTCTTTTTTCACTGTCACAGTTTGCAGACTCCTCACATTACCTTTGTTCCTCCTGTTAATTGTCTGAAAGGCTTCAGAGTCCACAAAGAAAAGCTCCTTCTGATAAAGGAAGTGGGACATGCAACTTGTTGACAAAATATCCCATGCCAGCCTCTTTTGTTTTTGCGTGTCGGGTGTGAAATGCATAAAGGTGTTAGTGTTGATGCGTGCCTGTCGCAGAGTCGTGTGCTAACCTGTTATGAATGCGCTCCTCCCCTCAGGTCATACGCTTCTCCTCTGAGACGGTGGCGGCCTTTATCGCCGTTTTAGGGATCCTCTCCATATTGGCTCAGGTATCAAACAATAAGCTAACAGCACATTTCTGCTTTTGCAATGTTTAAAATTCTTCAATATGTTGGTTATAGAGCTCAAAGCAGCATGTTAATTTTTCTTTTATCTACGAAAATCAGATGTGAAATTAAAATATGAGCTAAATATTCAGTTTTTCTGCCTGCTAAGGATATTTTTGTGCCTGTTGGTTCCTCAGACGGTGGTGTTGGGGATCCTGATGCGTTCTATAGGAAATAAAAACACAATCCTGCTCGGCCTTGGCTTCCAGATCCTCCAGCTGGCCTGGTATGGCTTTGGCTCTCAGCCCTGGTCAGTGAATCTTACACTTTTTAAACACCTCATACATTTTTATCCAGTTCAGAACACGAGTTGGGTTAGAGATGCTGCCATAAATCAAACCACTACAACCAAAAGAAAGCAGTTTATCTCAAAGTGTAATCTTAATGATTAGGTGTTGAAAGAGCAGAGATGAAATCCTCTTAAGCGGTTTGAATGCTGTGCTGCTGTCTCCTCCCACCGACACGTAGACATGCAGCTGCTGGTGTTACACTGGAAAAAAACAAAACAAAACAAAAAAAAACATTCCTGTTGCAGAAACACACCACTGAAGTCAGCTCTGTGTGTTTGTCTGTACAGTACATCTGTTTTCTGATCTTATTTGTTTAGGAGATGCACTGCAAGTATCCTCTGGTGCATCTTAAATAAAATATGATTGAATATCTCGTTTATTTCAGTAGTTTGGCTAAAAAAGTGAAACTGAGGCCTATTTCAAGCATTTGTTTTTGTTTCATATTGATAGAGCACATGCGTCAAACTCAAGGCCCGCAGGCCACATGTGGCCCGCCATGTCATTTTATGTGGACCCCTAGCATTTTATAGGCCCATGAATGACTTAAAATTGACTACAAACTACATCTCCCACAATGCATTCCGATTGTTACCAGCCAACATTGCGGCTTCTCGCCACTAGAGAGCAGCAGAGTCACCTCAAGCTGCTTATTGATTTTCCCAGCGAATAAAACTGAGACATCGACAAGCTAACATCAAAACGTCCAAGAAAAGAAAAATCGATTTACAAGTAAGACTGTGAATGAAGATGTGTGTGAGTTGGTGTCAGGGCGACAGGTCGCTAGACTTTTTTGTTATCCTTATCTTGACCGACAACATAAAAAAACCCGGTCCTGTACTATTTTTATCCGTGAAATTACAATCATATTAACATCGGCTATTTAGCCGCATTTTATGCGGTTTAGTTATTATTCACCGTGAATCCAGATCCCATCACAAATTAAACAGATAAATTTATCTACATTTTTCTCGTAGTGACAAAAACCACTGACTGAGGCCCCAATAACTTAATAAATTAAATTAAGCGACTTCACTTAAATTAGCATCACTTCACCCGCTGGAGTCTGAACAACTTCCTCCTGGTCCCCATCTGCAGAAAAATCTGCACTAATTAATCAGTCAGTTGGATCTGTCTGATCCAAACAGATCAACTGAACTCTGAGTGTTTTATTTATTTATTTTTATTTTTTGTTGCGTGGTTTCGCTTCTCCGAAACGGACAGATGTCACGTCTGCAGCTCCTCCAGAGCGCCGCTCTCCTGGGTAACGTGCACACAGAAGGCTCCATTTGTTAAATCCCCTGGATGAGTTACTGCCAGTGGTTTTTAATTCTTCGCAGCTTTTTTCTAAATGAAATTACTGGAACACATTCTAATTTATTGAAATATTTAATATGCTGTAAATAGGAACAAATATGTATCTTATTATTGTTGTAAGACGATGCACATTTAGAAATTTAGAGATTAATTGCATTCTGCTTGAGTCTGCAGTATGCCTGCATTTTTAATAAAAAAAACTGTTGAATATTACATGTTATCTCAGTAAGTTAAAAAATTTTACAGCTTTTTTAAAGAATTATTCTAATTGTCATTACTCCAATCCACCACTAGAGGGAAGTATATTCCAGTTAAACATCGCTTAAAGTCCTTTAATATGCCCAACAGTGTTAAAACCTGAATGCTTTTATGTTTGTAAAACATGTAGGAGGCAATTTTAGTGACTTAAATATAATTTCTTATTTAATGGAGTGTTAAAAATTGTTACTTTATAAACTGTTTTTGTTTCTCTCCAAGTCGGCCAAGTCTTGTTGTTCTGAACCTGAGGCAGCACACTAAAATAAAATGCAGCAATTCTGAAATTACATATTCTCAATATGAGTTTCCCTGGATCCAGAAAATACACCAGAAGTCACAGAAAATGTTAAGGTGGAGTTGAATAAGATCAGATTCATCCATATTCAAAGGATGAAAACTAATAAGGCATTTCAAAACTTATCAGCAGATTCGGGAGCTCCTAGTTACATTTACTCGATTACTTTACCTTGAATCACTTTTTTTTTTAAATGTACTTTTAGGAATATTTTTAATTTACTGTACTACTTACTTTTACTTTGCTACTCTTGAGTAAAATTTCTGGATTCTCTACCGACAGAAAAACAAACATGTTTTAACCAAAAATTTACCAGACAGAAACACAAACCTGCAGTTTTTGTTAGTTTCATAAGTTTTTTATTAAAAGAAACTGATTTGGAAACATTTTTTGTTTTGCCTGATTTTGTTATTTGTTCTTATTTATATTAATTATTGTCATTTTGGTCCTTAAAATACCCAAATTTCCACTTAACTTTATATCTGATTATGTAAATTTAAAATATTGATTATCCTGATAATTTGATTTAAAGATTGATCATTTGATCAGACTTTTTACCAAATACTTTTACTTTTATTACTTGAGTAATTTCGTGCTCTTTTTGTGTGCTCTGCCCTCCTCTGCTGATCAGGACAGTCTGGTGATGATTTCTTTGGTGCAGTTTTTGTTTTCAGTTTCTTTCTCCAGACACCATGTAGTTGGTTTCAATCAGTTTGATGGACATGACATAAGAGGTTTTTTTTTTTTTTTCTTTTTCTCTTTAACACCGACTGCAGGATGATGTGGGCAGCTGGAGCCGTGGCGGCCATGTCCAGCATCACCTTCCCCGCCATCAGCGCCATCGTGTCCCGTAATGCAGATCCAGACCAGCAAGGTGAGCTTCACTTTCTGTTTTCATGTTTTCTGAGATCTAAATGTCAAGATATTTCCATTGAACATCCTCTTTTTAGTGCTTTTTAGTATTAAACTTGGTGATGAACACACATAATGACATTTAGTTAGCTAGAATAATTGATAATTAATTGATAATCAACATAAATGAAACGAACCATGAGAAAGTTTTACTATTTTTTTTTTATCTAAGCAGCCTTCAACAACAGTTTCTTAGCCCTTTAGAGTCTTTCTTTGGACACAGAAGTGCTCTGAGGAATGTTTCCTTGTTTGTTTTGCTACTGAATACTTTCCTGTGAATTATTAAAATGTTTCCTGATGTCTCCCTGTTGTCAGGGGACAGACACGTTCGAGTTACGTCCTGTCCTCTGTGTGTTTACACATATAACAGCAGCACTTGTGCTAATTATCACAGTTTGTGCAGTTCCTTCACAGCCTGGAAAAGTCTCTATTTCTTTCTTTGTTTCTTTCTTTGAACACTCAAAATTGAATCTGGAAAAGTAAACATATTTGTATTAGAATTGTGCAGAAACCCTCAGAATATGCGAGTTTTCTTACTCAGTTGTATTTGTACATATTTTATCAAAATGTTCTCTAGAAACTGGTAAAATTACTTTTTTAATTTGTTTTTTTTTTTTTTTGGGCAAGACCACTTCCAGTTTCCTTTGTAATCTCCCCAGCCGCTTCCAATTGTGGTTTATTTTCAATTATTATTGTTGTTTTTATTTTGTTTTGTTTTTTTTAACTTTAGCAAATCCGTTACTCTTTCATACAAAATATCTGAAATTACTGTTTACAGATGGATCAATAGCAACAAAACAGCAAGTTCCCAACATACAATATACTCATTTGTATATAAATAAATACTAAAAAGAATGGATTTAATGGATTTTAAAGAAAATATATTTAAAAGTTAGTAAAATATTATTACTTAAAAGCTAGAAATGTTTAACTAATTAACTGGTCTGAGATGATATTCAGGGAGTGAGGAGGGATTCAGTTTGGTGTTCACTTTTGTTTGCTTTTTCATGTATTTCTTAATTTAATTACACTTTTGTCATTTGTCTAGGTGTTGTCCAGGGGATGATCACTGGCATCCGAGGGCTCTGTAACGGTTTGGGTCCGGCTCTTTACGGCTTCGTCTTCTACTTGTTCCACGTTGAGCTGACGGACTCGGACGGCTCTGACAAAGGTGCCAAATCCAACATGGCCAACCCCACTGACGAGGTGAGCGACGACGAACCTCTGAAGACTTTTCAGAGAGTAAAGACTTAAAATCCAGAGTGCAAACCACTGGCCGTTTGCAAGGCTATGGAAAGTCTTGCAAAGGCGTTGCACGATTCAATAATTGTGCAAATTCAGCCAAATTTAATGCACAGAGTTTCTTCTTAAATTGGTTTATAGTTGAGTTTTTTCCACAGACAAAATTAAAATCTTCTCAAAATGTTGGATAAAACACAACTTAATCATGTTTTGGGTTGCTTTCATTTTCTTTTCGTAGTGAATACAAACATCAACAATGTTGATCAAATACAGAAATATTACTTGGTGATTGATCTGTATCTCCTTTTTTTGTTGCTGAAAATGGACAAAAAATATATCTGTAGACCAAAAATAGAAAAAAAGGGAAAGAAATTCTATGCTTTTCTATTAGTAAAACAAATGTGACACTTTTTCATGTTTTGGATTCATTTCTCAACTACTATCCGACAAAAAAAAAGAAAAGAAAATCAGACTACTTTGTACACTTTATTAAATCTAAGTGCATTAAAATACTTTTTGCATTTTAAAGGGTGTTTTTTTTTTACCCACAAGTATTTCCAGCTGGACTAGTTTTGGTGTTTGTATTTGTTCATTGCTTCTATTTTTATTTTATTGCCAGCGATGATGATTGTTTGTGCTTGTCTTTAAGAAAAGTATTTGTGGGATTTGTTTGTCCCGTGATTTGTGGTCCCAGCTGAGGAATCTGGGCGTTTCTGCGCTGTGACAAAACCACAAGCTCCATGGTGCAAGGAAGCAAAACGCCCCATTGAGAGAAATTACCCAGATGTTTTGCAGAGCAGTGAATCTAATGTATTGCATGTTTAAGAAATAAAAACCTTGGTTTGAAAAGTGGAATTTGAATGATTGGCTAGTTGTAAAAACACTCTCCTTGAAAAAGTTAGAATTGACTAAATGTTAAGTTTTTTTGTTGTTTTTTTACATATACAATTTACATTTTTAATTTTACTGGTTTTAAAAAAGGTCCTGAATCATTACAGTTGTCAGTTAGTTGCATGATAAATTAAAATAAGTGCTACGTTTCATTTGCATACTTGTTTGTGTAGTTTAAGTGAATATTATTAAAAAGCTGTCATTTTAAAAAATGTTGCGAACATTTCACACACTTTTGCATTTTTATCTTTTACAAAAAAAAGTAAAACTGGACATTTTGCCTGTTTTCTGTGTCTGAGCCTAATGATTAGTATGTTTTGTTGGGACTTCAGTATTTATTTTATTTATTGTTTTAGGTGTTTTGTTTATTTAGTTTTGATGTTTAAGCTAAATATCCAAACAGTATTAAATTTTGTTGTGCGTGAATTGATCTTTGAGAGGACGTACTGGTACCGTTATCAGGGTTTCCCACAGAAAACTTGCTAAGCCTGGTGGTTGGGAGCTAGAGCATTCATCCATCCAGCCGGCCGCCATGATTTTGAGTTAAAAAAAATGTTTAAAGTTCACAGGAAATTTTACAATATCACCTGATAGTTATTGAAAGAATACCCAAACTATAAAGTCTTTAAAAAAAGGGAAATAATTAACAAATAAAATAAAATAAACAATGCTAAGCCTGGTGGAGGCACAAGTAAAGCCTGGTGGCCCACCAGGCTTATAATCCACCGTGGGAACTCCTGATTATGTCTTCATTGTTAGAATAGTTAAAATGACATTATTATCTTTTATGGTAATAAATTTGTGGACAGTTTATCATCCAGCAAATTAAGTCACGATATCAAACCTGCAGAAACTCTGATTTTCATAAGAGTGAGAACTTTTGTTTTCTTTAAATTAATAAGTCGTTTGTTCCTCTCTCTTCAGAGTGCCATCATCCCCGGTCCTCCCTTCCTCTTCGGAGCGTGCTCGGTGCTGCTGTCCCTGTTGGTGGCGCTGTTCATCCCGGAGCACACGGGGCCCGGCATGCGGCCCGGCTCCTACAAGAAGCACAGCAACGGGGCGCAGAGTCACTCCCACAGCCCTCAGGGCAGTGGGGCGGAGGGCAAGGAGCCGCTGCTGGAGGACAGCAGCGTATAACCTCAGCTAAGTGGGGCACACGCCCCATTTAAAAAGGAAAAAGAAAAAAGACAGACGCACACGTTTAGCCACAAGGACACGCATCAGAGTGCCGTGGAGAGGAGTTTGTCCACAGCACAAGAGAGGGTGCTCCACCAGGCCGTTCTTCGTCTAACGGCGGGTTTATGAGGACTTTCTGGAGGAAGCGTTTAGTATTTTTATTTTGTTTTTTTGGGTGTGAGTGAGAGAGACGCTGCTCAGCTGGACTCCATTTTCTCTGCAGGTGTGGCACATAGAACCAAGCACGAGAGAGGGGTGTTTATTTAAAATGCCACTACGTACCTGTGTGAGTCTTGATATTGGTTTTCGTCCAGCTGGAGTGTAACGACAAACACTCGAGCTCTCGTACTGGAAAGATAACTTGTGTCCCAACGCTCGTCGTCGTTTTCGGACCTGTTAAGCGGAGCGTTGAGGAAAGGCTGCCTAACCTCAGCCAGGATGGCTGACCTGTTCAGATGATGAAGGCTTCAGCGTCAGGACCACAGATTTATTCAGATATCAGACTTCTTACGGAGAGAAGTGCAGGAAAGAGACCACTTCGTTAGCTGAAGTCCTTTTTCAATGTTTACTTGCAGTTCTCTAGATTCATAGTACAGTTTGGGTTGTATATTTTTCTCTGTTCAAACTGAAGTCCAGTTGTGCTTCAAGTTTTTAATTCAAGAAACAAACGTTGCCTTGAAGTGGCTTACCATTTAAATAATAATAATAATTTAAAAAAAAAATAGACATAACCTGTATGAAGACCAAGGTCTGAGAAGGCTCTGTAATCTTACTCTGTCGCTCCCATCGGAGCTGTTAGACACTTTTTATTCCTCCGCATTCATACCCTTCCTGTTCAAATCGGTTCTTGACGTGTATCAGCATCAGGGCGAAGGCTTACAGAACCACGTTTTTTGTTTTGTTTTGTTTTTTAATGTCTAAAGCATCAGGACCACGTAGAGCTATCGATTAGCAGGTCAGTGGTCGACGCTGACTGTTAACACAAAGTTTCTGGGAATATCATTAATGCATTCATGAGAATATCACACTGCAAAAACACAAAATCTTACCGAGCGTTTTTGTTTAGTTTCTAGCGCAAACACCTTAGTACATTTGAAATAAAACAAAACTGACTTACAAGTAGCTAATCAGCTTGTTTGAAGTCAATAATTTCCTACTATTGATTTTAAAAAGTACTAGTTTCACTAGCAGATTATTTCATTCATAACATTGGAAAAATGTCGTGTTATAAGTGAAATAATCTGCCAGTTGAGCTTGAGAAATATTAAGGATTATTCACTCAAAACAAGCTCCTGTAACTTGCTGATAAGTTACTTATAAGTTAATTTTATTTAAATACTAAGATGTTTGCATTAGAAATTAGACAAAATACTTTAAGACTTTATGTTTCTTGCAGTGTAGCAGTCCTGCAGCAGTAAGTCTCTTCACTTTGTGGTGTGTGTTGATTTCTACAGTTTTACTAAAAACTGAAGGTTTCATTTGTTCCCTCATGTTTAATCGGCCGACTGAAAACACGACGCGTTTGTCCAACCTGCATCGCCTCGCTAAGCTCTCCGGTTGCTCTTATTTACAGAGTTCCTGAGGAGTACAGTTTGACTTCAGTTAGAAAGTAGAGGATGGAAAAAATATTTGTTTTCAAACTTTTCTCCCTCTCCCAATGTCTAAATATTTAATTTTTTCTGCAGTTCTTTCCTTTCTTCCTTCTTTGAGTTCCTTGTTCCTGCCTCGTCTCTCTATCCTTCCTCCATTACTTTCCTTTCTTTCTCCATGAACCTTTATTTCTTCTTCTTTTGTCCTTCCTACCTTTTATTCTTCCTTACACTTTTCTTATTTAAAGTCGCCCCCTGTAGAATTTCATCTGCCATAATTTTGAAGATACTTGTTTTTTTATATATATATATTTCAGTAGAACCTGCAGATCTCAGTCTGAACATCTTAATGTGAAAAGTCTGCAGGAACTCTGTATTTAACAGTTCAGTGTTTAATATCCTGGAGGTTTGATTGCAGAAATGTAAAATCTTGTTTTCGATCTAAAACCTGTTTCCTCATTGGGAGCTGTAATTTAAATCTACAAATTCAGCTTATTCCTCCTGCTTTCCTGAGCCCAGTCTGCTGCTTATGCATTGGACCTTCAGCATTGGACCTCTATATTTAGTGTCATTTTCCTGCTCAGTCGGGTCAGGTACTGAATTAAATGATTCATTATGCTGTAAAAAGCGTTGATTGGGTCGTACCACCTAGAATAAGCTCTTCCTGATCAGGATTTTTTTTTTCCCCTCCCAGTACTAATCCCAGTTAGCTCGCTCACCAGTGACATTCCAGAGGCAGCAGGTCCTGTTTTCGCTTTCAAACGGGGCAGTTATCTAAATGCGAGCAGGTTTTTCCCTCTGTTTTAATGCGACTCATGAATATTTTGCCTCATAGCTTATTTCCATGCGGCTGCAGTTAATCCAGTGCGGACAAAACGTACAAAAAACAAAAAGGTTCTTCAGCTTCGTCCTTGAACTTCATAAATTTTAAAGAGTCGAGTTTCAGCCGATCTGTTTGAGGATGTTCAGACATTATCTGCAGCATTAAATACAATCTTGTTCACTGGAAATGTCATTGTAAAGAGTGGAAAAAACTTGTTTGAAAAAAGGTCAGATTTGCAAAATTAAACGCTCAGCTCTACTAGAGATTATCCTATCGAGACTAATTAAAATCCAGGACATTGGGTGGACTGTGAGCAACATTGTTGACTTTTTCCAGCTTTATCTGTTTAAAGTTCGAGCCTTGATGAGGAGGGAGGAGTTTCTGAAAGCAGATTTCATTTTCCAGAATCCATCTCTAAACATTTCCAACCATCCTACCTTAAACCGCGCTGCTGCTTTTCTTTGAGCTTTGCAGGGAAATTTAACCTGCTGCACCATAAGGACTGAAGCTGCTCAAACTTTGATAAAGAAATATTAATGCTTTTGGTCCTGCATTTCCAAGCAATCCCTAGAAATGAGGAATAAAATAATTAATGAAAAAGGATGTTAACAACCCTTCTCTTCCGTTTCAGTGTGAATTAAACCTCATTTGAAGATGCTGCACCTGAAATGGACTCAAATGATGTTGTACAAATCG